ATTGCCCTACATATGATTGTTTGATAGTTTATACACTGAATTTCGCAATTACTTAAGTCAGACCATATATTAACTTAAAAATTGACGTCTACACTTTCTGATCCCTTCAATAATCTTTGAAGATAACCCTAAGTAAGAGGACAATTGAATTATTTTCTCCTGAAAAACTAACATATTCTATTTCGTAACGTGTTCAACTAACGGAATACGTTAGTCAGCATTTTAGTATTCTGGAGTGCGATTTAAGAAAAACTCTCACCCCCACCCACCCCATCGCAACCCTTCTTTACATTGTGGTAAAAATAACAAAAACTCTAATTATGTATAAATCAGATTGTTAATTTGCAGTGGAAGCAGTGGTCAGATCATAAAAAGCAATAAATACACTCGACGGATGAGTGATAATCTCCTAACTTCTTTATTAAGTGAACAGTATTCATCAACGTACTACATATTAACCGATAAACTGGAGTTATTATGGTACATTTGTAAACACCTAGATTTGATAATAATACTGTAATTCAAGGAAACTTTGTGAATAACCCAAATAAATCTAGGATGGCATCCCAAGGAGCATTTATTGGACTGTGGTCTTACAGTGCCGCTCAGTAAAAGCTTTATAGTAATTGATAAGCGACGTAATTAAAAAAGAAGCTCTTGGTTTCGCTGAAGCCTGTGCAATCAGAATAAACAATTCGGATCTTTGTATATGAAAGGAGACAGTAGTGTTAGTTTAAATCTACCCCGGCAGAATAGTTTTATCCTACCTCTATAATTTTCCTCCCATTCCCTCTTCTCTTTCCAATGTTCTTTCCATTATTATTATTGTCTTATCTGACATAATGTTAGTTTTCTTAGGATATACAGGAAGTTGAAAATCCTAGGTGAGTATTCATACTCTCAGTGAGGAGTATTCATACTGTCTTTTGACAGTTCAAATCAGACGTGTTACAATCTTTTTACTGAGTCCTATATGGTTTACAGATGTTAAATTTACCTACTCACAGAGTTTTTGTAGAGGAGTATTCATCTAACGATGAGTCCTTCTAGCGAAATTAATGAATTCACTAGCTATTGCTTTTTCCCCAAAAAATTGTCTCTTGTTTTAAAGAAACGCATTCAACCGTGCCAACAATACCAGTGAAAATCACTCCTCTAATGAATTAAGGCGGGTGGGAGCATAGCTTCTGGCTGCATATATTCTTCTTGGAATCTTGGGTGAGCTAGCTTTTAAGATTCACAAGAATGAACAAGAACAATGCCTCAGATCAACTTGGTTTTTAACTAGTATTCTAGCTATTTTTCTGCCTTAAGGAACACTGATCTAGAAAAATATTAACCGAATCCAGTCCCTAGAAATATTCCAGTTGAATAACATTGTCCTATTAGGCATGTCTTTTGGAAACAAACTCATGACTATCTCTGGTATTTAACTCTTCATAGATAAGTGATAAGTACATTCCCCTTCTATTCTGTAATAGGCATTCAATCAGACAGTAATCTAATATTAGACTTAGAGAGTGTTTCATGAATGCTGAATAAATTACCGAAATCAAGAGTAGCCCATTAACCAAATAGCTTTATCTGAATAAAAGATGAATAACTGTGGGCTAGAGATTTTTTATTAGACGAAACGAAAGCCCAAAGATGCAATTTATTGGTCGTTTTGGGCCAAAATCTATCACAAGGTAAACAAAATAAATATTCTAGCTGATTGGGTATAAAAGTGGCTAACTTTGAAAATCTCATCAGAGCTAGGCAGTTTATTTAGCTGTTGAAGGAGACAGAAGCTTTCGACCCTACTCTCACAGTTCATTACTTGTGCCTAGTCGGTTTTTATATTCGAATTAACTACTGCTGTTACAGTAGGACTGACTTATTGCTTACCGACCACGCATGTGCTCCGGTCCTTAGACCTAGCAAAAAGAGGGGAAAGTCTTTGTGATCTGGCATTCACATACACTAAAAACGACAACGCTGCTACAGTGGAACTTTATAGCTCATCCTCGAATTCCTATGTTTCAGTTGGAGCTCAGTAGACAGCCACATTCCATTAATAATGTACAATCTGAACTTCTGTTAAGAGTTCATCAGTTCATACAGTGCATTTTCTAACGCCTGAGTGAAAAGCAACGCGTTGGCCATTGGTAAGAGGTTGATATAGAGAAGGTTATTTGAGGAGAAAATAAAATCATGTTAACATTTGTGGAGGTAACTGAATGTGATGACTGTGTATATAGAACAGATTACAATAGGGGTGCTCCACTGAAGTCCTATGCTTCAGTCGGAAATCAGGGAACCAATGATAATGAAGGCATATAATACTCAATTCTTCATAAATCGTGGCTTTAGAGGTCTAATTATTCAATACAAATTAAACCAAAAAGCAGCCACCTAATTTAACTTCAAAGTTATTGATATTCGTAAATTCTATGAACTAAATCCTGTGTCTCTCAACTCTAAAAATGCCTTTTTTCACACGTAAACTGATAGGAATTGGAAAGAATAAGGTCATTCATCTTATTTAGAAATTAAGCGAGAATGTAATGTTGGTCAACCTCTCATTTAGAATTACTTTTCCCCCATCTAGACACAACATCTTGAGTGCAAGTTTTTAGTAAGAAATGGACTTGTTTGAATTCTCCCTCCATGACTGATGATAGAATTGTATCTTCTGGCAAAAAATTCCATTCTTAGATGTCTTAAACAACAGAACTAACACAGGAAATTTAGAACACAAGCAAACAGAAAATCACTGCATAGACATAGATCAAATACTCAAGTATAATAGCAATAATCCAAATACTCACAAACCAAACAAATTGCAGCACTCCGACGCTGAAGGGAATGGAAGAGAAATACCTACTAACTGTCTTCAAAAAAGCATTAATATCCATATAATTTCATCAAAAAGTGTCCACCATACATTTGAAGAATATCTCTGAAATAACGACTAGAATGCTAAAACCTTTTGAAACTGGTATAGCGCACAAGCCAGTGCAATCAATTCATTTGATATTGTGCAGACCAAAAGATCCAACAGAAAAAGAAGATAAGAAGATTAACGCCATTTACAAAAATAAGTTGTATCAACTGCGACAAACACTACATCATGAACACCGATTCGATTGGGAGAATGTAGAACTTTTAAACAGAATAAACACCGGAAGTGATGCCGGGGAGTTTATGAATAATCAGCAATTAACAATCACACTACTATAGACCGGATTTACCAACTAATGAAAGATGAATCGCATGAAGAGATGGTTCAAATTCCAAGCCAATCAAAATGATCAAGAGAAATGTAAACGGACAACCAATCACGGCAGTGATTGTCACAGGAGATACAATTACATCATCAGTCATGGAGGGAGAATTCAAACAATTCCATTTCATACCAAAACCCGCTCTGAAGATGTTGTGTCCAGATAGGGGGGAGGAATGAAAGCCTCGCAGTTAAATCAACCAACTCAGAGAAGAAAACTAAATCAATATCATTCACCTGAGCTAAAACTCACTCCACTCTGACAAATTATCTGGAGTAGCTTTAGTTTGTTAAAGTCAACCTTCTCATATGTAAATCCTCTTTTTAAAGAGTTAATGATCCTACTATACAGTTCTTTTAACAGGTACACGCACAAATAATATTGGTTTATGCAATACTTCCAGCATAACTGGCATATCCTTCACAGTAATGTTTAAATCAGTGCATCTAAATCCTCTACGATGAATATAAACGTTTATTACGCCTAGGAGACAGTTGGCTCTTGTCTTACAATGGTCCGGATTTTAACTTTCAACTTCTTATGATCACTTCTACAAAAGTGGCAGTCTAAAATTTGCATATTTTCATACACTGAGTGGTTCGTTTATTTTGTCACTGACACTGTCAATCGTCCGTTCAACGAGAATAGCTGATATCTCTTTTGGGAAGCAATGGTTTTGTGTGATGATTACCTACTGAAGTCTAATGGAAGCTTCTACATTGACCTGATATGCTATCTGTTTGATACCCAAGGATGGAAATCGATAAGGCAAGCATAAATAAATAATGATAGACATATAGAGTCAAGCAGATCACACACTGTCTGCGGGTGTATGTGTGTGATGTGATGTGAATAATTTCGGTCTACAAATGAAAGTGTGTTGTGGAATTCCAGCTCCTCGAACTGTGCAGTTTGCAAATTGAAAATCTGATTTCACGTATTACCAGTTCGCCCGAATTTCTCACCATGCTAGCGAAAATTCTGGTAGTTGGAACTGATTCTGACATCTCTGAGCCAAGTCGAACCAAGCATCTCGGTATGCAGATCACTTAGAAATGTTTGATCCAAAAGATACTTACAAGTTTGTTTCTGAGGTCGGTTGGCATTAGGGGTGGGGGATTTAAAATGAATAGTCTCCACGCATTTCGGTTTCACTGCTAACAAGTAGATGTGAACACTACTTTTAAACTTCCCGCTAAAATGTGACCTACCGGTTGAAAAGCTTTAAAACCCATGGGTTAATTTATGACTTCTACTAGTCTATCGGATGAAGTACACTCAAGGCATCAAGAAGACACCAATATTTAAGAGACGAAATCAGTTGAAAATCCCAAATCTTCAAGAAAATTAAATTATTTAGTTAGTACTCTGTCTTATTCTTCAGTTTAAGATTATCCATTATCCAGGTGATGGATGCTCTCAAATGTTATCGACCTTCCAAGCATAATCTATGCAATCTTCCTTTCTTAATGGAGTAATGCATATATTTGAGATAATTAATTACTAGTCACATGATCCTAGTCATGAAAAAACAGATATCGCATATCGGTTGTTAAAAAAAGAAACCATATTATCAGGTAATTATCATTCTACCTATTACTGTAGTTCATTGATTTCATTATAATTTCGGCAACTGAAGGACTAAAAACGCCGAAGTGAATTAGGCGTAGAAAAATAAACAGTAAAATCAAAATAGCTTTGTTTTTTTTACAAAAATCATTACTATTTACTTACCTATTTGTCACTTGAGCAGCTGTTAACCGGATAAATGCACTCCGTATTCGTTGCATACTAACAAGTACTTGAGCAAATGGAGTTACAATGACACCTTCAACAGCACTGCCCGGTAGATTATTTGTAGGATCAGTTAGTATTCCAGCTAATCCATTTGTACTTGACAGACTGCCACCACCACCGCCGCCTCCGCCTCCGCCGCCGCATCCGCCAGTAATGCCACCTGTTCCACCGGTACTTGATCTACCAAGTCTTACTATCATAGATCCTCTACGGATAGGTGGTTTTTTTGTTCCCGGTTGTAGACCAGTTGAATCATACATAGTCGGTGTATTATTGGGGGACAGTGTTAACGAGAGTGTTGTTGTAGAATCAGACGTTGTTGTACGGGGTAAGAAAAATGTAGGAATAGTTTGATTATTACTATTATTAACATTATTATTATTAGAATTAGAATTCTGTTGTGCTTGTTGCTGATGATAATGCTGATTATGATGGTGTGAATGATTAATAGAAGTGAAATGTGCATTGGAAATAGATCGCCTAAATAACTGATTGAACGGTCTAACGCCTTCCTCTTCCCTTTCTCTTCTGTGTACAAATGAATCTACAGGTTTCAAAGGACGCTTTATTATCGCCGAGTTGGTTGTATCGGTTAATGAGACGGAGGTGGAAGAGGTGGACATTGGACTATCGCCTGGTATAACATTAATATTAGTATTAGAAGTAGTAGTAGTAGGGTTAATCGAGTCAGTGGTACTTCCACTTATCTGTACTACAGAATTATTACTCTCCACCCTAATTTCAGGCTTAATCGAGTTTAATTCATTCGTGTTCAGTGTAGTGGACACATCAGCAGGACTTGTAGACAGTTTCTCTTTCTCAGCAGCAACAACAATATTTGTATTTGCATTATTCTTCTCTTGTGGATCACACTTTGAATTCATAGAGTGATTATTTTCAATTGGTTTTAAATCTGTAGAATTTACCAACAGTAAAGGTGGCATAACATCCGAATTTGTTGTTGAATTCCCCGATGTTTTCAGTTTGGTTAGGTTTTTCTGACGATAATCATTCTCTTGGTGTTGGCTACACTTGACACAGCTTATTATACAGCATTTCTTCCACATGACGTTCACCTCCGCAAAACGGTACTTTTTATGCACTAGATATGCGTATATTTATATTTATATGTATGTGTATGTGTATACTATAAATCCGGATAAATCACAGGTTGTAGTGTGAAAACCGCATTTTATTCCATTCCGTCTCGTTCGCCTTCACTGTCGCCTTTTTCCCCTCTAGTCAGACGTCAACAGTGAAGACAGTAGTGATTGTGTTGGTATTCTTGCGCATATGTATTATTTGCCTTCCCTGCTAACAGCAACAGTCGACATATAAAAAATATGTATTTCCAGAAACGCTACTGTACATTCCAAACTTTATTACGGCATTAAATTTCATTTATTTTAGATATGCAATATAATTGATGATGATGATGCTGAGTACATTAGAAAGTCTCAGTGTATTAGTTTCAAGTTCAAATATTAACAAACTAGTGAAATAAACGATGTCAGGACAACAGCAGATTGATGAATCCATTCAAAAGTATTACAACACTAGTGTTGTAGCTATATTTCTCTCCTCTCAGTGTATGTGTGTGTGTGTCTGTGTGTCTGTGTGCACGTGTGTATTGTGTGTCTATGCTTATGTTCACGTGTCCTAGCGCGTTATGTCTGTATATATATACTTACATCTAACCTCTAGTGTATATAACGATGGAAAGTGCGTGTGTGAGTGTATGCGTATGTCTGTCTGTATGTGTGTATGTATGCGTACTGTTATTAGTAGAATTAGTAGGACGAAAATGAGAGTAGAGTGAAGGTGGATACAACTAGCTAACTAACTAACTAACTGACTATTGAAACAACACTAACACAACACAGAGACATAAACATCTTTATCACTGTTGTATAGTGTGACTATCTAAGGACAGGTTATGACGAATACTCTCTCTCTCTCTATTCTAAGGTGAATTTTTTGTTGTTGTATTCCTTCTACTATTTTGATTGTCTATCCGACCATCACCACTATACTATATATCACTGGCGGGTTTATCAAACTACCATCACCAACCAGCAAGCCATCAGGTTATCTCAGTCTGTCTATGCCACCATCACACAACAATATGCATAGTATGCAATAGAAAGTACTTTTTGGTTTAGTCATTACATTGTAAATTTAGCCCTATACTATATGACTGATTGATAATGATTCGGTGGGCCATTTATTCTACATGACCACTAGAATTTCCTCTTCTGCAGTTGTAGGTTTCAACGATATTCAACTGATTACTTGTCTAGTAACTAAGTGATCTTAACGACCCTTAATTACGTTAACGACGTAGTCGTATCTGTGATGAAAAAAATGTGTATTCACATTGAACTGGGGAGCTTTTAAGGATGTTTAAGGTGTTTAGATTAGAAAAGCATGAAGATCCAATATACGTTACACCGATCAGACTTGCACATGTAACTGAAACGAATATTTCCTTCAAAACCACTTTTTAATCATCCCTTGATTTGACACTTTGGTGAATGAAACAGTTTATCCCTTTGATAATATCAGTAAGAACATGTTCTTAAACAGTTATTAAGTTATATATAGGAAATCCAAATGTACTTAATGTGAACAGAAATCCATAGCAAGCTTTTTATTAATGTCAGGTCTCAGAATCAATATGAATGAGTGGTTCTCAGTTTTAAATGTTAGATTTTTGTCACTAATCAACTTATCAGTTTGATGGAGATCACTGGAAACCACTGAGGAGCACTGGATAGTGCTTTTTCTTCTTATGATGGGATTATTCAAGGGTGTCCAGCCACGACTCCATAGCGAGGGACCTTCAGGTTATTACGGGACCAAGCTTGTTGAACATTCAGCCAAGTGGGCAGGAATTCGATGACCTTTGAATTGTAACTTTGTTGGGTTATTTCACACAAGTGTATTAAAGGTAATGTATCTCAAATTATGTGTGTATAGGCTTCAACTTACGCCTACCACTTGATCTACTGAAATATGGTTTGTTATAAGTATGTGCTTTTGTTCTATATTTTTAAAATTATTTTATTATTCCCTTGATTTCCAAGTGAAACACATTTCCACTTTGTTCTATTTCCTGACATCCTCTTCAGCTGTGTCCACGATTGCCCAAACTCTCTCATCTCTTCCTATCCAAACGATCTCCTCCATGTCACCCTTGCATTGACGACCCGCTCGTCGCATTCCATTTAGATTCTACTTCAGTAATGGCCTGGCTGGCACGTGATGTCATTTGACGTTCTCCTCAATGTAGGCCCGATCCATCTCCATTTTCTCCTAAATTTCGTAGAGCGATCATCTCTTGTTGCTAATTCTCTCTGGCCATTTAATAATTAGTATAGAGCCAACCAGTGAAGGTGCGAGCTATTGATGAAAGTCTGCAACCTGTTGGCAATTCTTTTCGTTACACGCCAAATTTCTGACCCGTATAGAACGACTGACCGACTTGACATTGGTGCTGAAAATGCAAATCTTGTTCCTTATGCTGAGTCAGTGTAGAAGACTTCCAAACTGATTTCAGGTTGATGAAGGCGTATTTTGCCTTTCCCATTCTGACTTTGACATATTCATCCGTCCCTCCTGTCTGTAGTTGAAACGATGCTTCCTGGCCGGATAAGTGAAGGACGTAACCTCTGTTAAATCTCTGCTGTTATTCTTGTGAACGAAGCGATTGTAAAGAAACTCCGAAATCCAACCACCTCTTAATAATATTTATCTTTTTAATGCTTTCTAATTCTTCCCTATAACTGTCTTCAAGTTATACAGTGACATCTCTGTATTAGTTAACGAAGAGTTGTCATTGGCGACATTAATGTTTTCTTTTCATAAAGTCGACTGATTAAGACAGGAACAGTATGTAGGAGTTTTGTGTCAGTAAATGCTTTGCTAATATAATCCGGTGACTGGAAGATAAACTCACAGGTTTATTGTGAGTTGGATTAAATTCCATCTTAACAAGTGATCTCTCTCTTTTTGAATACAGCTTGTGCTGATAAATTAGAGAGAGAGACAGTTACCCGTCTAAATACTGTATTCGTCGTATAACAATAGAAAACTTCTTAGCCCAGTATATTAAAGTCATTGAAAAACGCCTGCATTCTGTACACAACCTATTCAGTGAATTAAGCTAATTTATTGAAATAACAATGATAATAATAACAGCATATTTCCAGTATGAGAACCTACCCACTGTCTGTAGATGAACCCGACGCGCCATGTTGTTCTGCTGCTAGTGCTGTAACAAAAATGGATCCACGCCGCTGTCTAAGACCGGGAGGATTTTGTGGAGACGGCGGAGCCTGTTGCCCTGTAGGAGGTTGAGCATCACTTGGTGAGATCCCTTTACTGTTGAAAACGAAAAGGTGGTAGTGGTCGGTCCCAGAGGGGGGGGCAAAAATGAAAAGTGCAATAAGAAACAATTAAGTGATGAAATAAACAAGAGAATAGTTCTATGTTAAGGTAGACTGAAAATTTAACCTCTTTAAACTTACTTGCCTAATTTATATAGGCATATGGAGATAGATTTTGGTGAAAGAGACGCAGTCGACTGACAGTTTCTGATATGATTTAGATATTCCTTCCCAGTTTTCCCTTTGGAAGAATTAGTGAGATGAATATAATGACTGATACAAAGCCGTAATATGCAGACACAGCAACCAGTTTGATTTGAACGAATCTACAAGTATGCCAGCACAGTTTTAACAGTAATTAGTGATTCTTACAAATAATGTCTACATCTAAAGAAAGAATGATGAAAAGGGATGTGTTGAATAGATCTTTGCTATTTCTGGAATCTGGATAAATTGTGTGACACTTTTCTCTTGAACGGTAAACAAGGCGACAACATTCTAAGTAACTAGGATTCACTTTGACTGACTGATTGATTCCAACATAGAATTTTACACAGAATTGCAGCAGTTGAAGTTACCACCTTCCATGTGCCACACATACAAAGACATATGGGAGAAGAAAGAAGGGATTCGAAAGAACAGTGACAAGAAGAAATGCAAGGGAGAAAGAATAGTATGATATGGGAAAAGTAAGGTGTTAATAGATATGAGAGGTCACAGAGATTGGATGCATCTGAGCCACTGAGAACGATTTCGAGCCATATCACCAGTTGTCTCCAGCCTGTATTGGTTTTTACTATCCTGAGGACACGAAACAGTCCGTTTACATCTTTTCCATGTGGCTGACTAAAACTAACTTTCATGGACTGACATCAAGTCTTGGTTTGACCACCATTAGCTCTTTTCCAATCTGATCCTATGTCAGATAACAGTGACCGTCGACGAAGGCGATGATCATGCATATCTAGCACATGACTTTCCATCTTCACCTGACATTGGACGTTTAATCTCAATATTACTCCACCCCTATTTAACACCTAACATGGAAGATAGAACGCAGTTGCCTATGATCAAAGAGAGCTAGCCTTTTCATATCCCCCACTTTCAGTAGCCATGCCTCACAGCGATAAAGGAAGACAGAGTGAACTGGTGTGCAATATACGCAGCCTTTGATTGATATCTGGATATCACGTTTAGGCTAAAGGTGACGCAAGTCAGCAAATCCCATAGAAGCCTTGTGTATCCTTGCTGAGATTTCGTCAGCTGTCAATCCACTGCTGTTGTTTGATGCAACTTCCCAAATAATTGAATTGGTCAACACTCTGAACCAGTTCACTCATATCTTTAAGCTAAGAGTCTGTGTATTCCATTCCATTTGACAGAAGTAATTACACAACTAACATTCGAAGATTACTGCTCTAGCGTTCAGAAGATTTACATTTATCAGGATTTACTCTGACATAGATTAAGACGATAAAAGGATTGCTTTGGTTAACTTATTACAATAGTTTAATGATTTGATAATGCTGATTTATTTTACCAGTGTTTATTCAAAAGTGAAGTTATAATAATTGGCCTTTTAGTGACAAAACAACAGCACAGAATCGACCTGTAACGGCGGCATGTTTGAATTACTGCGCTACGTGGATTTCCACCGAATGCTTTGCGTCAAATGTTATCTATTTCTCTTTGTTTTACCCATTCAATTATGTAAGTTGGTCGCCAAGTGTACTAATACATATTTTTAATTGGCTATCAGTCTACTGCGGCGCATATCTCGGCGACGAAAGAAAGATACCATGAGGGATTATTTGATTCTTCACGTGACGTACTATAAATTGCTATTTTACTCGAAGATCCTGGACGAGGCGAAGATATTATGCAACAAAGTACTCTGGAAATTCTGGATATTACGTAATCTTTCCGTTCAGAAAATTATTATTCCCTTGGGTGCAGAGTAGAACAAAGGGACTCAACAGGACGTCTCCGTTTCCTCTTGTCGTCTTTAGCTAGTCCCACGATCACCAACATGCTAGCATTTCATCCTCATATGATCTCCTCCATGTCAGCCTCGAACTCAGACCCAACTCATCTTTTCCCATTTGGATCCCACGCGAGCAATGGCCTGTCACGCGATGTCACTCAGCGATCTTCTCAGCGTGTGTCCGATCCATCTTCATTTCCTTCTGAATATTTGTTGGTTGGGCTACAGGTTCTTGGTTAGTTCGTAAACAGCCAGAGTTACTTGTTTCTAATTTTATCCACCGGCCATCTGATCTTCAGTACGGAGTCAGAGGAGGTGGTTATTGGCAAAAAGCCACATTGGCTTGTTGGAAATGCTTTTCGTGGTGCTCAAGTTTTTGACCCAAATAGAAGAAGTGAATTAACACTGGTGTTGTAAATCCGAATATTGCTCCTTAAGCTGGTTACAGAAGATTTCTAAACTGATTTCACAGTGATGAATGTCTCTCTTGACTTTCAGATCCTCTTTCTCTGGCTTTGACATTTTCATCCGTTCCGACTGTCTGTATTTGAAATGATTCTGTCTAGATAAGTGAAGGCAGGAAGTAATCTCTTTCAAATTGTTTCCACTGAGGGTGACTGGTGCTTGTTGTTCTCACTGTTGGTTGGTTATCTTCATCAACTCCACCTTTTCTATGTTCACTCAAAGTCCTGACTTCGGCGTCTACTTCTTCTGACAACTTGTTGGTTTTCACCTGTGAGTCTTCGTATTTGTGTACCATTACACATAAATCCTCCACGAGTTTCAAATCTTCTGGAGTCTTCTTATCGGTCCATCGTATTCGTGTCTTCTCTCTCCTCACTCACGATGTGACACATAATCCGGTGACTGCAATCAAGAATATTATTGTTGACAGTGGGCAGTCTTGTCTTCCTCCTGTATTCATTTCAAACTCCCCGCTGAGTTTTCCGTTAAGAATCAACTGGCACGTGCCATTGTTGAATGAGGTTGATAACATTTGTTATGGCTAATATTATTGTTTTTGAATGACGCCCCAAATAATAAACAGAAGAGTGTTATCCTTTCCATTAGACTTTCGATTGATAACTCTCTGTCCCTCACTTACACATGCAAGCCTATATTTATACATACAATTGAAGCATATGACATCGTTTGAGGTCTTGATCACCATGTTTCCTTGCAGTGGTCCACATTAGGAAGTGAATCTACCAACGGCTGGAGCATTGTGTTCGCTGATTGCATTCATTGGCTAGTGATGACGTTATACATAAAACTCGAATGGATAGAAGTTAGAATTCATGGGCCCTTGGATTCCATTTCATTCATTGAACAATCAACAGGCTGACTGATTTCATAATCTGAAAGTCATGAGTTCGATTCCCGGTGGAGTGATGTGTGCGAATCTCATCCTGACAGTACTGGTTGGTTTTCAATATGACTTTCCTCTATATGATGTCAATCTCTGATATAAGAGAGATTTTAAATCAGTCAAATCCGTGTTAATCAACACCTGGGAAATATGTTCACCTTATTGATCCTATCTTGTACGTTCTTCCTTATCAGATCACAGTACCGTGTCTTCTATATACTTCTATGTATGTGTGTGCGTGTGTGTACACAGAAAAAAACAATAAACATTTGAAGAGGATATTGCAAAGTACATAAGCCGATGAAGTATATGAACTTTCCACCCCACCTCCACCCTCGAAAGACACAATGCCAAAGAATGTACGCATATTTATGTGGCTTTAGGTGTACGTCTGTGCGTGTGCGTGTGCGCGTGTGTGAACATTTCTTCATATGTAAATCACCTTTCTTATTACAAATAAATTGATCTTTATTGTATAAAACACTATTGCATAAACAATCACTTGATGAGGTTTATGTTTATGCATGTCTTTGCGTTAATCACACACACGCACACAAGCACATACACACATCCTGACATTCATACAGAAGGATAGGTTATAGTGAACTGACTTCATCCTTTCTTTCAAAACGCATAATTTAACTATATCAGTTAGTATATGTTGTTTTGGATATTTCATTTCCTTCTTTTTACTTTCCCCGCCTACATTCTCTAATATAAAATAATGTATATATGATGAAAGTGTATACGTTGAAAATGTTAATTCAAACAAACAACATGCATTTTCATCAGTATTGCAACTTTCAAAGTACTGAAATCATGTGATAATAACGTAAGTCAAGAGTTAAGGAGAGAGACCTTCGTGTTTCTAAGTGATGCACATAATGTGCATATATATATATATATATGCACATGGTCCGGGGTTCGATCCCCGGCCGACGCACTCCTTTACCTTGGTAAGCCAAAAATAATGCTGGTGAAGAGGAAAGGTTGGGCATGAGGCTAGCAACCCCATCCTGTAAAATAAACACTGCTACAGAAACTTCAAGCCTCTAGCTTGAAGCCCTATGTTCCACTGGGGAACTTGAAGGAAAAATAAAATAATATATATATATATATGGCAAGCCTGTGAACCTCGTTCAAAACGAGATGTCAAAAGCTTTGAATCTGCTGATAATCTGTGCCGATCTACACATCAGGAAGGTACGAAACCTCCGCCTCAGATAGATTCAAGTGCAGGCGATTGCAATAGCAGTGCAGACAGCTTTGGTGATGACTAATAGGGGACCAGAAAAAAGGGGAATGAAAGTGAAATTCACGACACTGGACAAGTTTGTCTCAGGTGAGTGGTTCACATTATGGGAGGAGCAGTGGCGGCGGTATATTCAACAGTTCACTGAGGAACAAAGAGCTCCTTCTTGATAGCTGCTGTGAAGCATCTCAAGATGGCTGGCGTTAATATTTCAGATAAAGTCAATGAATAAGCACTACTTACGCCTACACGTTGAGCATTTGCTCCTCAGTGACACGTCGTCAAGCATCAGGCCACCTTTGATGCCGACATTCAATGCGGTGGAAGAAGTGCCGAAGAGTATTTATGGCACCTGCAAGTAGTGGCCTCTTTGCCCTTGGACCGTGATTG